AATCAAATTAGAGTCAAATAGTGTCGAGAAATGTGGTTTCAATATAGGAAATATTTGTGATAGCCTTCAAATATATTTTTGTCTTTATTTATAAAGTTTCAAGCTTCAAAAATAGTGTAGATTGAGCAGATCTATGAAAACTTGAAAATCTTGAAATTGACGGTCCAAAAATGCATTACAAAATACACGATATCCAAAACTTGAAATCTATTTTTTCCTTATGTCCATGCATCTTGAAGTCGAGATGATCAATTTGAGGATATTTGGACATCAAAACAACCTTTTCTAGTGAAATGTTTGAAGTAGGCTCTAATTTAATTGTTTAGAGCCTCGGCTCTATATAAATTTTTCCCTATATATATATATATATATATAGTGTCGTAATATGACTCGCATGCTGTCCAGCTTCAGACTTGAAGTGCTTCATTTGTTAACTGCATCATCAATTATGTTTCCACATAGCTTGATACAACTGAATGTGTAATAACCTGCACAGATATCCTGCACAGATTGCATTACAGATATCTCCTACCTTGCCTCAACGACATGGTTGCAAGCATGACACCAGCTAGAACCAATGCTGAAGCCAGTGGGAATGACTGCAGATTAAAATTACAAAAAAGTCAGTTTCATACGTTCAGGTGAAACAAAAATAAATAACGATAACTCTATGAAATAAGAAATCAGCAACCAAATATATCTTTTGTCCAGATGAAATTTGATAAAGGGATTGCTTTATTTCCTTTTCCAGAAAATGTTAAATCTTGACTTAGAGGCATGTATGCATAATATGCTAAATAAATGAATGATTGGACTAGAGCATATTGGATGCATAAATAATGACATCAGACATCACAAACATAAGTTTTGCCAGACTCGGGAAGATTTTAATGTACACTAGAGCACCATAGAAGAATATTTTTTCATTTTGGAATTTTTTTAGGCCTATATTAAATTTCACTTTTATTCATCCGTTTATTTAATTTATTCCCCTCGTAGACAAACTCCTTCCACGAAATTACAAAGAACTTAAAAAACTCCATTGTGAGCACGAACAATTGCAACAATGTGCATCCCTTATCCAAGGTCTACATAATCTTTTTCAGGCCCATCTCTAACCATTAACATTCTTGACAACCTATCCATTAGCAAAACTAGTACAAATACAAATAACACTATGAGAGCTTCCACATTATGAGACTTCTCTTGCCCTTAAAGTTCTTTTGACACAAACTCGGGCAAGTTATTTGGGCTTGGCAGCCTGCCGAGACTGGAACAAGGTAGTATGTACCCTGTAAGTACTCGGAAAAATATCATATAGATTTGCCCGATACCATACAGACATGGACTGACTCGCCCAAGTTTATACCGTACTCTCCTGAGGACTCCACCCTCATTTTCGTTTTTCAAGATATGAGGCCACAGGCTGTGCAATTTGGCTCAAATTTGTCTCCTTAGCAAGATTTTTACTTTATCTATCAAGTAGAAACATTAGATTTGAGAAAAAACCAGCGGATTCAATAGACACAAGCCACTCAATGAGCACTATTCATGTGCAAAGTATAGCATACAGTGCATTAAGTGTGCAACGCCCGTCATAAGTGTGGAATAAAATTTCACCTTAATTACATATCCCCCAAAATCAAAAGCTCAACTACTCAAAAAAGCAATAATCCCTTTAAGCCAATCACTGCCCTAGATAAATTATATGTATTTTCTAATTTGTACTACATTACATTCGATTACAGTGAATGCAGGTAAATGCAACATTTATGGTTCAAACCACACAGGCGTGCATAGAACCTCAATTATTTCTTGAGTAATTTACATCATATAAATGAGTTAATATAGATCCTTCCAGGAAATTTCTTCCATGTGTCAGGCAGATGAGATTAAATAGTAGAAAATATGTACCTAGAAATATAAGAAATATACTGAATATGAAGGTAACTTACAGCTAGAGCCTCAAAGCCTCCTCCTTGCAATGACGAAGTCATGTCTCGGTTAACAGCAACAATATAATGTCCATGCAGAAGATCAATGGCATCCTTTTTAGTTCATGCAACAACCAAATTTATAATGAGGACCTTCAATGACTAATGCATGAAAATCAAAGCCATTATAAGGGCTAACCTTCAATGACTAATGCATGGAAGTTTTTTTTAGAAGAAATGCATGGAAGTTGGAACAACAAAACCAACAATCAAATAATATTGTAAGTACAGAATACTAACCCATCAAAGTATGATTAATAAATGGGAAAATAAAGGTACAAGTAGAAAATGCACTCAGAAATACATTAAAGGCCCTTTGGTTCTGTAACTTGAAATGTGTTCACTTGACAGGGCAAGAAGACACTGAAGAATAATCCCCACAACAAAAATATAAAAAGAACAATTAATCTTGTGATTCAAGAAACTCTAAATGAACCATGAATATTTTCAACTGTGGTCACGTCTAAAATATTGGAATTTGTTTTTCAGAAACCAAAGCGTCATTCATGTCAGTGTAAAAAAGTACAAATATGCATTTTATGGCAGAGCCATTTAGGAAGGAAAAAATAAAGGAATCACAGACCACAAGAGAAACAATGGGATCCCTTTCTTCGCAAGTAAGTCCATCAGTTCATTAGCCATGTGGAAAAATATGGGGAAACTACACATGTAGGCCATATAAGTCCTAGATAACTCATAGAGATTACCCACAAGTACCCATCTATTAAATTAGCTGAATCAACCTCCAACAGCCACGGAACCCACTTCGAGGAATAAATGCACAAAACCAACTAGGACATGAGCTTGAACTTTCATTGGCATCAAATTCACTTTAGTCAATACCTAGGATGGACAACTAGGTCAGGGGCAACAGTTACACCCAGTGCAACTGCATCCCAAGGACCTAGAAAACTAAAGGTCCAATGCCCCAAATAGATTTGGGGGGAAGGTTGAGAGAAGTTTTGAGAGAGAGAGAGCATAGGTCTAAAATAGTGTTATTGAGATCAGACCGGTGCTCGAACCGGCAAAGGGACTGGTCCATTTAAAACCGGTCCGACCGGTCAAACCTTTTTCATATGCATAAAGAATTAAAAAATGACTAAATTTCAAATATTCAATAAAAATAAGAAAAACATTAGGTAAAACCATTGAAAACTCGGTTAAAAAAATTATCGGAAAAAATTCCAACTCGTGCAAAAAATTAAATATTGGAGGATTTTTCAATTTAGTAAATTATGTAAAAAATGAATATGGCCTATGACATCATTATTCATAAAGCATAAGTTCGTCAATGAGGACGGACCTGGTGCGCCTTTGTCCCCATCAAAGAGAGAAAAAAGTACATCCAAAAAGGGGGAAAGAAAATTGATAAGTAAGACAATTTTCCTTCTAACAATTTAGGATGACGATTTTGGCCAAAATCTTGAGGCCTTTTGAATTAAATATTTTGGAAATAAAATATCATGTGCATCAAAATGGAAAATATAGAAAAAAGACAAAAATCAGACCAAAAGATAGGAAGAGAGTTGGAGGAAAGATTGGGTCGGTTCATCCAGGAGAACTGGCAAAACTGACAATCAAACCAGTTCAACTAGTCAACCACCGGTTTTGACCAGTGCTCAAGAAATACCGGTTTATTGCCCATAGTATACCGTCCAAGGCACCGGTTGGAGGTTCGACCAATTCAACCACCGGTTCAGCCCAATTTTGATAACTATGGTCAAAATAGATTTTAAGGAAGTGAGTAAGAGAGAGAGACTCATCCGAGACTTATCAAAAAAGTATTACTTGGATAAGTCTTTGGATACCACAACAAGACTCAGTCAGGCCTAAGGCAAGTCAACTCGGGAAAGTTTCAACCCGAGTTGCAAGTTTTAAAGCCATGATATGGACAATAGATCTATGGTAGGGCTTGGCTTCAGGATGACAGCAGGATTTTGAGAAGGAAACTTAGAGAATTATATTAGAGATAAAGGTATACGTTCATCAAAGGAAGATGCAGCCGAATAATATGGCTTGAGGGAGACAACTGGTTAATACAATGGATCTCTTGTATGTGGAACATGAAAGAAAATTTGATGTTTAGCCTCTACATTTATCAAATTCTGACTACTGAAGACTGGTGCTGAAGATCAACCAAATTAGGATTTTGCAAAGAATCAAGCGTTTGAAGGAAATATCACCCCGATACCATGTAACTGTGAAGAATAATCCTTGCATAATATTTCTCATGCCACATGAAGATTGCACTTATAAACTACAGAGATACTCTACATGGCCCTTGAGAGAGAAAAAGAACATTAAAGTTAACTATGAATTCAACACAGTTACTGGTCTGTTCTTACACATACATATAACTCATCTATTATACAATACAATACGAATAAACAGCCACAACATAATCCATTGGCATCCATAGCGCAGTAATCAGTCATGAATATTTACACCCTTTGTTCATGAGTATTATATCTAAAAATAAGTGTACAGAACAATCTATCCTAAGCCACAGCTAAAATAATTCAGAATGATGCAGTACATAACTAATCATTCATATAGATGAGATTATAATTCTAAGGGCTAAATAGTCTTAAGATCAAAGTGAGTCCCTATGGCCCAAAAATGAAAACGAAAAACTTCATGCAAAACAATTCCTGCCTAACACCAACCTGTTTTGTGCCATCACAGAAGTTGTTTAAGTAATAACGAGCAAGTGCATTCCGTCCATCATTGAAGATTCCCTGGATGGTCCTCTTCCCATATCTAGCAAACAATCAGATGGAAGAAAATACTGAGGCCGAAAGTTGAATTTGTTCATTAAGAGACCAGAAAGGAGGATATACTATCTACACAATTGGAGTTTTTTTACTCAAGCAGATGTTTCCACTATCAGTTTACTAATATCCTAACTGTTTTGACTCTCCCTGACAATCCGAGTTTCCATTGAAGTTTAAGATAATTAAATAGCCATAATTAAAAACACAATCCATTTTTATGTGAGACATGATGTTAGCATTCATGCACTGCATACATATGACTTGCGAAGGAAAGCTCAAGAAAGAAAACCAACCAAGGTTGCATAGAAATACCTGACAAAGTCTCCTTTCAATGCAGGGGTTCCTGAATACTGGATGCTTATCTCATCTCCATGGTTAGCCCACACTGAAATCAACATTAAAATGCATTTATAGATGAACCAATAACTAACACAGATACACACAGACGCACGTGCATGCATACACACACACACATGCCTGCACACACACACAACACACGCACACAAATAAACACACAGATGAGACTTTGAGAAGTTCCAAGATTTCATAATTGAATGTGGCACAAGCCCCTTTTTTAAAAGACATTAAATAAGTTAGTATTTTGAATAAATTGCAGTAGGTCATAAGATCTTACTGATTTTGAAGCCCTCATCAAAACTTGGATATTTATGTATAGACTCATCGTCACTGAAAACCCCTATTCGTTGGAGTTGGTTTTCCAACATTTTCCTCCCAATCATGCTCTTAAGCATTTATCATAGATATTAGAACATTAGACATATGAGAAGAAAACACCAATCAATAATAATAAACTAAATCTAAAACAACAAAAAGAGTATAAAAAGAAACAAATAGACTTCAATTACTAACTTCTGCTCCAACAAACAGATGTAAAAATTACAACATAAAAGACATTTAGACTTCAATTACTAACTTCTCCTCCAAACAAACAGATGTAAAAATTACAACATAAAAACCAAATGTCTAGACACCATGTAGCACATATAATTCACATGTCTACAGATGATAAAATTTTGCTTAAGAAACTACTCTTCACACTGGAGGGAGTATGTTCAGCATGAGCGCAACAAGCACAACAAAGTTTGATTGAACCATTTCATTCTATCCTTTGCTAAACACATTTGTGTCACTTTAGTGAATTTCTTTTAAATTGATAGTTAATCACTAATACTTTCAGACTCTAAAAGTACATAGTCACAAAATTTGTCCCCGTGACATCCCAGAAGATAGAAAAAGGACTGCATATAAATCTGATTGACACCATCTCGTGCCAATTGATCAGCTATCTTATTGGTTTCCAGCCACGAGTTGTGAAGAGAGACCAAGAGATTGCTAAATAATGCAGAAATTTCATCCAACCTATCCTTAAACTCCATGGGGGATCAGTATCCTTCTTCCCCATGTGATTACATTTTTTGAATCCCCTTCTATTACTATCTCCTTCCCATTCTGGTTTTAAACTCCAGAGACCTATTACCATTGTCCATGCTTCAGCCTTGCTTGCATCACACCTTGGCAATACGGCTGGTAGCTGGCCGGGACTGGCTCAGGTCCCTAGAGGTTAGGCCAGGGCCCCAGGCCCAGATGGGCCTAATTGAACTTAAAAAATAAATAAAATAATAATGAGAAAACATGGTCGGCCTGGTCAGACCTTTCCCCTGCCTGAGGCCAGGTCCGCCTTGCCACTGGGCCAAGCCGTCAAACCACATACTGTGGCTGGGTCAACTGAGCTGGGCCAGGCCACCCGTCCCATTGTCAACCATACTTTGAAAAGCGCTAGAATAGGTCTTTAGTATACTACTCTCATGTATCTTTCGATGCTCCCCCCACTCGGTAGGCCCTAGGTTACCTTGGGAAGTACCATCAAAATTGAATTTGAATTTCCTTCATCAATCGGCAACCATACCACTGGCTTTCTTTTATCATAGACAACAGATGTTACTAGTTTAAGCCATTGGTTTCAAAACCCACTATTAAGATTCATCAAAACTCCATACCTATACAAGCCTTGGATACAGCCTGATTTTCGACCATGTCCTTTAACCAAGCAACTGCGTGGTATCTGGAATTGATTTTACAAGAGTTTCCCTCTGTCCAGATGATTCATAGTAAAGCAAATGCAGACTCAAAAGAGAAGCAACCCTCTTTTACCCATAGTTGGAGCAAATCATAGCTTGATTAAGTCTTGGATTGATCCTGCCCACTAAAAACTAAATAATTAAAGAAAATATTCCCTTGCCTTTGGCAGTAGTTTCATAATGCATAAATTTGTGCTTTACATCCTCAGCCTCCTTTTTGAGCATTTTGCACTTATTAGGAATTATTCTTAGGCTTATCAGTTGGTCGATTGTTATAAATTTATCTACTATCATTAAATATCCAAAAGCTTGAATTTTGGGTGGCCCACGTCTCCCCACACTTTTGATGCACTTGAAAGATCCTTCTAGATGGGAACTAGGGCTCTTTCGGACTTGACTGAGCACATATCTTGCTGTTCCCACTCCAGATCATGATTTCTCTCTGAAATAGTCATAAAGAATTCCTGTAACTCTCCAAGAAATCCCTTAAAACCTCGGGCCTTCATCCTTCAGGTTTCTACACAATTTTGGGATCTAAACTGTCCTTCCTTAACCGTGGATCTCTTCAGGTACGGACTCATATGGCGTAGCTGCTATTGCGAACAGTCTCAGATACCTTTCCTTAGAGGCCCCAGATTTCGGCCAAATGTCCTCCAAGAATCTTGTTATTCTTTCATTGCAAACCTGGGTTCTGGTTTGCCCCATATACTCGGATCGTCCGCCATTAAATCCTTTCCATAGTCCAGATAATTGCTTTGTGTATGGGTGGTGTTTGACAAACCACCCATTCTCGTTAACACCATATTTTCCTTGCATGAGTTTCTTCCGGAGTTGATGTGTGGGTTCCTGGAATCTCCACTACTACTTTCCAAGTAAGACTTGATTGTTGTCCTTGAGTTTTCTTATCCCAAACCACCCCTCTTCTTGGGGCAATAGACTAAATCCGACTTCAACAGATGACATTCATTCTTTGCTTGCGCCCCATTCCATGGGAAATGTCAAGTTTTCTATGCACTCTTTATCACCCCATCCCAAGAACAGGAAAATGGATCTTCCTGCATTATCCCTAGAGGCTTGAAACCACCCTTTTGGGCAAAGGGAATGTTGAAAAGACAGAGATAAAAGCAGTGAAAGAGATATGGTAACTTATTATTTGCCTGAGGGTATGGCCCTTGATAATGCAGAATGGCAAAACAGGATTCCTGTAACCGAATCCCAATAGTTGGGATAAGGCTCAGATGATGATGATTTGAGTTCCTAGATAATTTGATCTAAGCGTCCAAAAATGTGATAGTCTTTGTTCTATCTTAGGACATTATTTTCATCAGTCACGTATAAAGTGTGCATGAAATGTGTTTTATTGAGGTTGGTGCTAGAATGATGAGGTTACATTCCACAATTAAGGGTTCCCAATAATATTCCTAGATAGATTTTACTTGAGGGAGTTAGTGATGATATGAACCCTAGGGAGAAAGTGATCTTTTGACTTATATAAATCATCATTGATTCTTGGTAATTTAACTACCTTGGTTATTTAACTAACATAAAATTGGTAAATCAACGTATATTATTCCAAAATTAACTATTAGTGATCAAATAAGAAGATTCTACACAACCATTAACTTTTTCCATTTTAAAGAACACGTAATGTACATTTTACCTGCTACTAATTTTCTAATAAGCTAGAGTTAGGATTCCTTATTGTCTTAATGATCAGAGAAAAAGTTTACCTTAATGTAATCCTTTTCTAAGGATCAAAATTCAGTGACAGGTAGCTTGACCAATACAAGTTCACTGGGAAGACCATGGCCTGTCTCATTTCCAATCAGTCTAATGCACTTGTTACCTCTACTATAATGGTGTAACCGCTATTTTTTTCAATGAAACCATTATGCACCAAAAGGTATGGAGGTGATATTTTTAGTTACAAAACTATAATTGATTTCCCCAAAGTTTTTTATTTCTATGTTTTCTTCAATCATTGTTCTCCTACTGTTTTGTGGATCAAATTACAAGCTGATTCTACAGTTAAATTTAAACTGCACCCCAGTGAAACAAGTTTACATCTCGACTCTGACAAGCTTAATCAGAGAAGATATCTCAATATTGCTCTCCTTTAAGTTTGGCACTAATATACGCCAGTTAAAAGTTAAACCAAATGCAACTGAGAAATACCAACAAGAAAAACAAAACTGACATATAAGTGAAATACCCTTGAAAGTAAAGTTCTTTTTCTTTTGACAGATGTAACATTAATGCTTTTCAAAAAGCAATTATTTATTAGCAAGCACTGCAACAAGAAATTACATTGAACCATAGTTTTTTTTATCCAACCAGGTAATGGCATTACCAGTTGTATGTCATACTCAAATATATAAACAAAATAGGATGTCATAATTAAATTAAACCTACAAGGTAGCTGATGTTTGAATAATGGAACATGATAAATGTGGGCATTACCTGAGTGACATTAGTACGGTCTAAACAATCAATGCAATTGGTCCTAACAAGTCCCAATTGTTCATCAAGCTTCCCTCCTTTCGCATTCAATAAACAGTATCTAAAAATTTCAAAGCAAAGCAAGTTATCAGTGACTGCAGATAAAATTGAACCATGTATGTTCAAATGTATTCAATACTTTTATTAGAACAGACAAGTTTGGGCAAGCAACAAGCAAACCTATGATTAATTGATAACAAAAATCGTTGCTCTCCCAAAAAGCAACACGTTAGTTTTGGCTGCTTTCAGAACACAATTAAAGAGAACTATACATAGTTATGAAAACATTGTCTGAACCCTCCATTTCCATGAACTTACGTCCCTTCACTATTTTTCCCTCAACACACTTTTCCATTATAAGATATTCTAATAGCAAATATCCAATTTATCCTGAGGAATATCATTATCATCATCACTCGAGCCTTATCCGAACTACTTGTGGTCAGCTAGACGACCCCAAGAATGTCATACGCGATTACGTTGTATCTTCCATGGCCCACTAAAGAAGAAAACTATCCACGTGAGGCCTGAGTTCCTTTGGGAGCTACCATTGAAGTAGAATTGTTGGGAAAATTTCAGTGTTTCGGGCCACCTCCTAAGCCATACAACACTTACTAGTATATAAATTTTTTCTACACAAGAAAGGTCTCAATCAAGATACGGACAACGGGTAGGCACTAGGTGCATCACTCTTTACCTGGACACGATTATTTACAGCTTAGTAAACGTTAGGCCCAAAAGCTTTAGTTGCATTAAGAGACCTCCAGCAGCAAATGTTATATCTTCCGCCCTTTCATAGTTTGGATAAACAATTTACATGGAATGGATAATTTATCTATCCCTATCCATTGCAAAAATGCACATCATACCCACGTGCCCTATCTAATAAAAAACATAAATCATAGAACAACACTTGAAGATAAACTATTTATATGGCAAACTCACAATTGTTAGAAATGTTAGATGGTGCGGAAGTAAGGGAGTAGAACATGCTTGAAGCTCCCTAGGTTGGAAGCGCATTCTGAACAATTATTTGATCATATAAAAATTTAAAATTCAAATATTTTATAAAAATTGAATAACTTGATAATCCCACAAAATACAAAAAATGAGAATAAAAAAGAGCAATAAAAAATTAAATAGTTACTAATTAAATGTTATTAAACTAATAAAGAATATTTTTATATACCTTTTGTAGAAAAAATCCCACAAAATACAATATAAAATATTATGATGAGGCACACCAGGATAACTGATAACAATACAAGGGCGCTGATTTTTTATTGATAAAATCTGCTTTATTTACAATAGTGCTTTAAAAAAGATCTGTGGGGTGGGTCGCACACCACCGATCCGGTTTGGACCAGCTGAATCGACAATCTGGATCAACTGGATTGGTAACCCAGCCAAAAAAAAATAGGAAGAAGAAGAAAAAAAGAAATAGGATATATATTTTACAATATACAAAATGTATCCTATAACTCAAATTGTCTAGTTGGTTAGAACTTGTACCTTGGAGTTGTAACCACAAGGTCAGAGTTTTGAACTTCGAACTCTCCCTTCTTTCTTTTTAAAATTCAAAAGTCAAAAGTAAACTAGTTTAAATTGGCAAAAATAAACTATATAAATTTAAAAAATTTAAAAAAAAATATGCACCAAAGAGGGTTCAACCTCCGACCTTGTGGATAAGGCCTATGTGCTCTAGCCAACATAGCTATTTGACTTCTATGATATAGTTTATATATGTTATAAATTTATATTAATTGAACTAGCTCTAACTACATAAAAGATTTATAAAAAGATCACTTAGGAGAGTTTGAACCTCCAAATTTGTGGATAACATGCACACACTCTCACCAACAGAGCAATTTGACTTCTATAATATAAGTTACCTATAGCATTATTTATATAAGGAAACGGCCTATTCAATTTGAGCACCAACACAGCCTTTGGCGATTCCGGATCCAGATTGGTTATACCAATCTAGATTGCTGATTTTTTAATAATTGAATAACATTTTCACACTTTACAACCTCCAAAACCATACCAACCTGTATTACTTACAATTTTACGCTATACAACCTCAAAAAGCACTAGAGAGAGTATGATTGTAATTAAGAACCAAATGAATCATTTTCTTAGTCTCTTATTGGCTATGAGTGATCCCTAAAAAGTGGGGATCAAAATCCCAAAATTTAAGAATTGTGATCCCCTAGAGATCCCTATCCTAGATCGATGGAGTGAGATCCCAAAGAGGGATCTACACCTAGGTTGGCAGATCCCGGTAACTAGGGAAAAGTTTGAATAAGATACTGCATGCCATGCACTACAAAGTGACCACGACTTATACAGCTATCTTGGCTAGTAGGGTAAGGGCTAATCATTCAGGCAGGCTATCCGCTTCTCAAATTGCAGCTATATCTACATCGCACGGTTTCGGGAATATATTAGTCATCTATAGCGGAGCACTCGACGCCCAGCAGCCATCCATCAGCAGCCCTTTTCTTGAATTGATGAATCAATTCAAGCAGCAAAAGGGGATACAAATCGGCTACGGCTAGGGGATTACAGTACTCGTTTCAATCGTCGAGCGCTGGTTAAGAAAAATAAAGCAGGTACAACTGGTCATTCCCTTCTGTATTGCTGTGGTGGGGAAGGTTCGTTACAACTGCAATAAATTCTAGGTCATCATTCTACGAGAGCATATAGTGAATTTTAACTTAGTATAAAGATTTAATAAGCACAATGTCGACTAGAATTACCATTAATACAGGCCCACACTTTCAATAGGAAGAATAAACTGCATACCTGTGTTTCATGAGGTAATCAGAGATTTGATCATAAAGAATAGAAAGGCGTTCAAAGTGGATATGGCCACATATTTGATGAAAGTCCAATTGCACATATCTGCAAAGAAGATAAGCAAGATTTGACACTATCGTATGGGGATACAAGAACTTTCTTAATACATACAAAAACTTGAGTATAAATAAAGAAAGAATAACAGTTCTTGACCTTATAGACTCATTAACAATATTTTGCATCAAATTGGCAAATATTTGACTCAAGCGGCCCTCACTGCCATGCTGGCGAGGATAATCGAAGTTAGCTAAGACATTTCCTCATGTATAATAAGATAGAAAATGTACCTTATAATTGGAAATAAGGAGAAATCAACAAACAAAAAAAGAAAAGAAAACCAACACATAAAAGTTTCGAAACTAGTTATTGACGAGGTCAACTGCCAAAACAGATCCATATCTTTTCCCCAAATCCAAAAAATGGCACTCAATGACTCGGGGCTGCAAAGAAGAAGCAACAAGCTAGAGGTATCATAGAAGACTCCAAATGAGCATTAAATTCTTTTGTTTTTCTGTTTTGGTGCGGTGTGTTCAAATTTGAACCCCAAAATCTTGGTCCACCCTACCAACCAACCCAGACAAAGCACCATGAAACTGCCACTGATATCTGATTATTTATAGAAGAAACATGTTCAAAAGACTCACCGCCTCCTCAGGGTTCACAACCTCAAATTTAGGTTTGTATGTCAAATCAACAATTTGCTCCCATAGTAATGGAATAGATCCTCGAACCTAGAAAAATGAATGCATAATATCCAACTTAGTATACTGTGAAATGAAATCAAATTTCCATCTTAGACATAAACAATATATACATACATGCAGAAATAGACATCTATGAGCGCAGACATATTGATGTTGATGCAAGTATCTGATTCGATGCATACATATGCGTATATGCGGATAAGGTGTTAGGGTGTGTTGACAACCATCCAGACTTTTATCAAAAAAGTTTGATAGGTTTCATAAGTAACACTGCTCTGTACACATGGAACCTTTTATCAATAATTAATCCTAGTTCCCTTACTACTAAGGATGTCAAAGGTGAGAACCGGTATCAACCATATCCATGGAGGTAACACAAGGCATAAGATAAAAACATTTGAAGAAAAATATGAAATTCCATGAAAAATAAAAATTAGAAAGAGTGGCACATCAAGTAAACATATCATATAAAATTCACAACTAAGAATAATTTTCAATTCAATTTCATTTCGTGGTTATGATTATGTAATCAATCATTTATTACTACATAGCCACATTTAAACTTCAAATCTACCAAAAACTAAAATAAACTAAAATTAAAAAAATCATTGACATTCTCCATTCAAAGTAAAAGCAAATTGTAATAAATCATCATCATCATCAAAGCCTTTTCCCAACTAATTGGGGTCCGCTACATAAATCCTGCTCCGCCATTCTGCTCTATTAAGGACCACAACCTCAGAGAGGCTATAAGTCCTCAATCTTTTCTCACTACTTCCAACCATTTCCTGTTGGGCTTGTCCCTTGTCCTTTTTTAGCCTTCTATTTGAACTAACTTGCACCTCCTAACAAGTGTTAATACTGGGTCTACACCACACATGGCCAGCCCACCTAAGTCTACTTTCTCTCATTTTATCACACCTATTGGTGTCACACCTAAATTCTCCCGAATATATTCATTTCAAATTCTATCCCTTCTTGTCATGCCACTCATCCATCTCAACATCTTCATCTAAGCTATACTCATTCTATGGGTATGTTGTTTTAGCAAACTATAATAAATAATAACTAATATAACTGCTATCATAAAAACCAAAGGATTATTAAATTAAAGAAATACAATTACAAATAATTTGAAGGTCTGTAAACACATGAATAATTGTCATTAGATACATAGCAAGTACCATATAAATATTGAGAAAAAAAAAGGAGAAGAAGAAGATGAAGAAGAACTGCTTACCTGTAGAAAAGAAGCAGAAAAGCCGTTGCAAAATAAAATCTGCTCAGTTTCTACAAAGTTAGCAACATAGCCATCGGAATCAGCCCCTCTTCTCCACATACGGGTTCTTGTAAAAAAGAAAAGGCTTTCATTACTAGATCCATAAAACATTTTAATGAAAATTAGAAATACAGAGCATGGCCATTTTCATATAACCAAGAAATCTAAAATAACTGATAAAGTTATCTTCAAATTGCTTCTCTTGATCAGATACACCCTTTTATTTCAAACAATTTATCCAAAATACATCCTCATGAGAAAACTTATCTCATCCCTCCTAAATCAAAAAGCCACATAAAAACTGAAATTTTTTTTGAACAGCAGCCATATATTTGAAAGTTCTATAGTTGCAACTGTTCAAATACTGATGCAACTGTTTCTCCCTCCCTCCCACCCACCAGCCTCTCCAAAATACCATGTTTTTTGGAAGTTGTTGTAATGTTCTGAAAGATGACAAGTTCTGATTTTTTATGCTTATCACCCTCCCAGTCCACCATATCCCCAAGGTTTCAGAAAACACTAGGCTCCCCTTAGGCGGCCGACCTGGTGCTCAGCGCCCAAGCAGACACCCTATAGTAATTTTTCTTTATATATATATATGGGTTTTGTTAGGCTACACCACTTGTGGTGTAGACTCTTAAAGTGCTCAACATTTTTAGATGTTTAGATACCCTTATCCTATAGTATAGTAACTTTTTGTTTAGGGGTATTTTAAGTAATTAGTCAAGAGTAAACTAGAAATTCCTAATAAAAACAAAAACATTTATTAACAATAGTAGACAATGACATCACCGATATGACATCACCCATAAGATGCATTAATTGTTTTTAAAAATATCCATTCTACGCTTCTAAATAGAATGCCACTATTTTCTTATAAAAATATCCACTCTACCCTTCTAAATTACCAAAAATGCCCCTACTTGAAAATATTTGTATTACAATTCAAGGGTATTTTAATGTCCAAAAATATTGAACACTTTGAGGGTCTATACCACCAAGTGGTGTAGCCTAACAAAACTCTATATATATATATATATAGGAAAAGATCCTGTCAGCCCATGGGCTGACAACTACAGTGTCAGCCAACAGCCCAGATTGAATCTGAGCCCAATCCAATAATCACGACCTCATTTCGTATTTGAATTTTCATGTTTTTTATACATATCCAAATCACTTGAAATTTTGAACATCTATTCTTAAAAAATAATAGAATCTGATAAAAATATTAAAAAATAATTCCAAAAACATAAATTGACCAAAATACCCTCGAAACTTTTCAGAAGTATTTTGGTCAATTTATATTTTGCGAATTATTGTTTTTATATTTTTATTAGATGCGCCTTGATAAGTAGAATGCACGCCTAAATTTTGAAGTGATTTGAATTTATAGAAAAATAAATGAAAATTCAAATATGAAAAAAGATGGTGACCATCAGATCGGCCCAAATTCAATCTGAGCCATTGGATGACACTGTAGCAGTCAGCCAGAGGGCTAACAGCATCCATTCCCTATATATATATATATATATATATATATATATATATATATATATATATATAGTAGTGTTGTACGTAGTAGTAGTACGTACTAACTAACTAACTAACTAACGTAACGTACGTACCTACCTACCTTAACTTACTTACTA